GCATCATTCGCTGGCACGGACATCATTTTTTTTCTTTTTATCGTCGACTCACGCAACAGAGTCTACGGCCTTGGATCACGCCTCGAGTACTTGGTGCGATTCGATTTATCCTTGGGCGACGATGCCAACCGTTGGATCGATGCCAAGGTGATGCAGGCGCAACTCCCTGCTTTGGTCGCCGCTTTCAAACGTATCTCCTCATCTAGTGGTCAATAGTCGAGGGGGGATATGTAACATGAGGAACTTCCAGAGTCGAATGATTCGTTTTCCAAAGTGTTTTGATGTCGCTTCGCGCACTCAATCACTTCATTCGTTCATTCATAGACAGTGGGTCTTCAGTTACTAACTGTCATACTCTCAAGGTATGTCCTCTTGTTACACGCAATCAATCATTAATTATATAAATAAATAAGTTTATATGATTCGTTCATTCATAGACAGTGGGTCTTCAGTTACTAACTGTCATACTCTCAAGTGAACGTTCAATAATATTAAGAGTACATCTCTTTATATTAAACCTTTGAATTACAAAAGGATTTTGCACCCTATGGGGTTCGAACCCATGATGGCGAAGCCACTGAGACCTGAACTCAGCCCCTTAACCTCTCGGGCAAAGGTGCGTACATGATAATGGGTCAACAAATTAAGCAGGTTTTATATAAAAAATTGTCAGATCACAGAACACAAAAAAAAATTGAGATATTCAAACAAATTTTGAAATCAAAATAAATCCCACCATCTTTTAAGATATATTGCAACCTTGGTAAAACCATCAGTATGATAATAGAGGGAATCTTAGTTGGATCTATAATTCCATTTTTAACTATGGCAATTGTTTTCCACTTGGGTTTGGTGGTGACCAAGTCAGTCCTCTCCTGCATCGTCATCATTTTATTTCTTTGTTGTTGGTCCACTTGACATACAAACATACACAAACACATGTATTCTAGAGAATGCAATGTCTAAAGACAACATAGCTTCACATCATATACAATATTTGTGACAGACATGACGTCGTCGCTCCCCTTCTTCAAGATTGTTGCACTCGGATTGGTCCTCACACTGGCTTGGTCGTTGATCCACCCCCATGTCTCAATCCCTGCCATAAACAGCCAGACGCACTCGCACACCACATTGGCTATGGCCGCCATACTACCGAAACAATGGTCCATTCTAGTCGATCGCACGCCCATCATTGTGATCTTCAATCGCCCTGTCATCGAGCCCCGGGACGCCAGCGAGCTGCCCAAGCCACCAGCGCATCACCTACATGTGCGCTGCAACGCAGAGCAGCCGGTGGCTGGTGACTGGCACTGGGCGAACTCGTCGGTTGCACGGTTTGACCCACGAGACAACTGGCCCTATGACCTCGAGTGCACGGTCGACATCGACGCCGCACTAACAACGTACGACGGCATCGCTCTGTCCAAAGAGCCCGTACTGCAGCAATACACGTCTCCTAAGCTCGTCATGGTGATTAACAGTGTAATATCTCTCGAATCCACACGCAGGTCTAATGGCCGTTGGGAGGCCTTTGGATTGGGCCGCTGGCTGCCAGATCTCAAGGTCGACAACAACTACCCCGAGGTGCCACCCGACGGCGAAATGCGCGTGGTCTTCACCGGCCCCGCCACCCTCGACGCGGTTGGGGCCAACCTGCGCGCTGTCCGCCTATCAGATGGCGTGCCATTGCGTTTCAAAATCTCTACATGCAACAATTCGTTGCATTATGGCTCGAGACGTGATGGTGACATCAAGACCAAATGGTCGCACTCGTTCTGTATACGCTTTATCGATGAGATCCAGGCTGGCGAGCTGCACGCCCTTGTCCTGCCACCAGGAGTGCAACTGCACCCTGGAGCCGGTCCAACGAGTGAACACTCCCTCCACTTCTACGGCCTGTTGCCTTTCTTCTTGTCCAACGATGCGTAAGTCGCCAGCTCAGATCGCGCTCCCCTTGTCTTTACTCTAACATGTCACCTCACCACTCACACAATGTAGGAATACTAGATATCATGCTCACGTGTACCGTGTGCGACATGGGATACTCGACGCAACCTCGCACGAACACACCATCGACCTCGCACGCACACTTCAAGACGCGATCAGCTACACGCCTTCACTGCCATTCACTGTTACCATCATCGATCGCGCCACCATCCAAGTGGAGGCGATCTTTGAGCCAGGCCAGACCTACGTCATGGCGGTCAATCCAACAATGACTGTGCCAATACTCGACGGCTGGGGTCAGCCCCTGCAGCCACACAACTTCACATTTAAAATGGACCACTCGTTCCCAGCGTATACGTCAATGTTGGGGAGGCGACAGATATATCTGCCGCCAAGCGACGTCTCACAGATCCACATCATTAGCCACGCCAAGTTGAACGAATTCTGTAAACAGAACCAAGTTGTGGCGGCGGGCTACCCAGTCACGCTGGACAACATCGTCACCATACTCAACTGCACCAACTCCAAAGACATTTCGGCGCTTGAAGAGGTTCCCCTGATCCAGGTGACCCTGCCGCAGGACGACAGGCCCAAGGCCACGCCGATCGACACGTACCCCCTCTGGAAGGCGAGCGGCGTATTTGCCCTAGCGCGCCCCAGCCGCTTTGGCAACGAGTGCAAGCCCAAGACCAGTGTATCGCTCATCCAAGAGTCGGATATCAGCGCGACCATTCTGGCCTGGGGCCGCCAACATACGCTGGCCTGGATCACCAACGCCACGAGCGACAATAACGTGGTTTCAACCACAGTACACTTTTACGGCAGCCTCACTCACCTGGACGACGACAATAATGAAGCCGCCATAGTGTATCTCGGCAACAACAAGACCGATGACGGCGGCATCGTTCATCTGCCTGTCCACGCAAAGGTCCATGCAATTGCCCTCGAGACAGGGCGCGACAGACTCTTTGTGCATCAACTGATTCCCTTTCATATGCGCGCTTGGCAAGTCCCCCCCAAGTGCCATATCTTTACCGATCGCCGACTATACGCAAAGGGTGAGACCATCCACGTCAAGGGATACTTCAAACACGCGCGTAAATCACAACAAATGTGGACACACGAGCTCTCTGTCCAATGGCTACCCGGGCACAGCGCCCCTACTAAATACAATATATCACTCGACCCCACGTTCAACTCGTTCCACACTAGGATTGTCGTGCCGCCCAATGCCCAGCCTAGAGAGTATCCCCTTTTGTTGACCTCCACCCTGCATGTAGCCTCAGGAGCGCTCGTCCACCCTTCGTACCACATAGTTACCGATGTGATTGTCGCAAAGACCGCGGGATGCAGTGCCACAATTAGCGCGATTGATGCCACATTCATTCAACATGGTGGCAATGCGAGCAGTGAAATTACCCTCAAGATCGCGACCACCTGTCAGCCAGGCGTGCCGCTGGCCTTTCAGAGCGTCTACCTGACGGTATCCTGGATCGGGAACTTTGAATGTATAGACCACTGCATGGACTACCTTCGGAGCAAGATACCAGACAAGCAGCATGACTTAGTCACTGATGAGAATGGAGAGGGGACGATGACAATCGCATTAGACATTGACGAATGGCTCCACGGTGATGAGATCACTATTGTCGCCACCTTTAGGGATCCAACAACGAAAGAGTTTTTCAAGACCCCACCACTGAAGCGCTACATTCTCAACGGAGAATACCAATTCAAGATGTCATTGGCACATTATGCGCAGATCAGGGACAGAGGCGACAAGACCATTCCAGGTGCGCCCCAAGGCGTCTTTGCCAGACTTTACCACGTGCCAACAATGACCGTCGTCGAAGGAGCAACAGTAAGCCTAATGCTGGTGCCAGCGAAGGACAATCCGACGTGGTCGAACAGCCGCCACCTCTGCTCATTTGTCACTCGCGCTGATATGACCGCCCCGCCGTGCCACTTTAGTGTGAACGACACTCTGTCTTACAATGTCATGGCCCTTGCCATGGACGAGTCTTACAGCTCAGTCACAGCATCGATCCCGATTGTCTACGACCATGAGTATTGGGAGGAGCATCCATACACCTTCCGCAATCGCGCGCTCACTCTATATCCACTGCGCAGACACTACTTTGTCGACGACCAACCATCGATTGAATACTGGAATCCATTTGTCACGAGTATCGTACTGGTCTACTGGGGATGCGATCACTTTCAAGATGTCATTCACACCACTGCATCTTATGGTGTCCAGTCCATCCTGCTTCCTGCCATCCCTCGTGTCTGTCAGGAGAGCGGCCTATTCGTGGCGCTTGGTGTCCATGGCCAGCGAGAGGGCTTTGACATTCCCCGTGGTGTGCCGTTGGCCTCAAACAACAGTGGCACTCCCAAAGGGCTCACTGGCACAGTTAAAATTGCGATTAGAAAACGTACGGGCATCCAAGCATCGATCGATGTGGCGAGCAACAGCGTTGCTTCCCTGCGTGTGACTGACAAGGTCGGCCAACCTCTGACGGGCGAGGCCGAAGCCTGCATATATATCGTTGACAAGCGCGTCAATCAGCCCCAGGACAATGGCGATGCCTTTAGAACATTCAATATTGATTCACCAGGGGTGCACGCCGAGACCTCGCGGTCGGCCTTTATCGACAACTACCACACTGTTGCGAATGTGACAATTGGGCGGGCACAAAAGGACCCATGGTCACCACCCCCTACATGGCAGTTAGGAAGTATAAGTCCCCACCCTCTTTACCCGCGGGAGGAACATAGTTGGTTCTGCTGTGATCATCATTGGTACATCCCTACAGGCGACCATGTGTGTCCTGATCCCCACCGAGCAATGACGCCATTGTTCGTTGGCAACACAATCTTGCGTGATGGACACGCATCAGTAACTCTCGACCTGCCGGATGACCTGACAGCATATACCATCCGCGCTGTCGTTGTGACCAAGGGTGCAGAGCAATTGGCTACTGCCGAGTCAGAATGTGGGAGTCTTTGATTTTGAATAAACCTCTTTGTTGGATTGTATTTAATTGAATGGTAGGTGACTACAGCCTCTTCCTCCATATATAGTAAAAGAACAACACCATGAATAGTTGGTCACTCTCTAAAGTATATTTGACAATTTCTTTGGAACTCTCCACAGTACTGTCTGCTATTAAATATGGCATCCACCAAAATACACTTTGACTCCGACCATTGTACTATCTGATCAGTTTTTTTTTTTTTTTTTGACTAGAGTGGAAGTTTATTATTATTGCAAATAAATTGGCGTCATTGAAGAGGCGGGATAATATATATAAGTTAGTCGATTTTGAATTTTCTTGATTTTTTTTCTTTCTTTTCTTTTCTACTGTAGGCCTCTGAATTCGGCCACCAAGTATTTGTTGATAGTTGGCGGCAGAGGCGGAAGACGGATGTCGCTGTTGCGAGTGCTGAGGTGCCACTTGGTAGTGAACTCGGCCATCTCATTCTTGATGTTGACTGGTCGTCCGGCCAGGATGTGACTCGTTAGCGTGGACATGAGGGAACGCCACTCCTGGCGGAGGAGGGACTTGAAGGATGTGATGCACACCAAGCTGAGCTTGGCCAACGGGGCCTCCTTGTTGCCAAAGAGGTGGTGGCGATG